GATGTGCTGTATTGAAAAGATGTACTATATACATTTGTTTTTTATTTTGCTCAGTAATAGACTTTAATGAATGTTGTACAGAGGAACACAACTGGGACCCAAAGGGAGTTCTCCTCACTGTACCGAAGAGACCTCTGTTTGTTTCTCATTATCTGTCCCCAGTGAACATATCCCCGATGTATGAAGCGAGGCCAGGAAAGTATAAAACATCCTTTATAAATCATTATTTATTATCATTGCAGAGGAAATTATACATTCTACCACTTCTGTATCTATCGGGTTTGTATAAAATATTTTAATTATTATATACTTTTTTTTTCCTTAATAGAGTAAAGAAGTAAATAAGTAAAGTCCCGGCATCTCCTCTCCTGTTATGACATCAGCATTGTAATAGGAATACATAGTGGAGTTGTCTCTGATAATACAATCAAAGCTTACCTGAAAAAAATCCCTTTATGTAGTGAGCGTCGCCTTCTGTCTGCCCATCACTTCCATCAACTTCCTGGATTCCCAGTGTGCTTTGTGTCTCTTTCCCTGCTGCTTGATGTGATGCAATCTCCATTTCTCAAGATTACATCTCCCATCATGCATTGCTTCCAGCAAAGCATTGATAATGTTACATTGTTCAGAAATTGAGTTGTAGTCCAGATGGCAGGCTCTGTGAGAGTTTTAACACCAGGAATTCTATTGGCATCTTCAATAAGTAAGTTTAGAATGTTCTAGATGGATCTGGTTATTAGGAGTGGGAGAGTCTGATGGAAATCCAATATAGAAATACAGATTTGAGCAGATTTGAGGAAGATAAAAGGAGTGTTTTCAAAGAAGATTTGAGAAGACGTCAATGGAAGACACTGTTTTCTCATATATTGGGCACATATTAGCTTTAGCGTACAGAGGCTAAACCTATTCAGCTTCTCTGCAGGTGAGATAAATTCCCGATCTTCATATACAAGGGTGTTCCCATAATGAGGCAGTAGCCTCAGGCAGCATCTCATTCTGGGTGAGGCAGTAGGCCAACTAACAGCAATTTGGGGGACAATTAGCCTTAAAGGAGACCTGTACCTTAAAAAAAAGTCCTTTAAGGCATGCTTCCACCTCCCCTAAGTGCCACCCATCTTGTCCAATGCATACCATCATCCTGGTTCTTCATGGTGTGGCCATTATTCTCTTTCTCTATTACTCTGTCCACCTTTAGGCTATCCTTAAAAACTCATCTCTTCAGGGAAGCCTATCCCACCTCAACATAATGGTCCTTTTACTTCTTCCACTAACCCAATCTAAACAATTATTACCTTTTGTATCACTTGTCCCTCATACTAGATTGTAAGCTCTTAGGAGCAGGGCCCTCCCAACCCTATTGTACTGCAAATGTAAAGTAACTGGCGGTATACAAATCCTGTATAATAATAATAATTCCTGTTGGTGATAACTCTCTGTTCCTCTCTTCCAATTGTACTCTATTATTGTCACCCTGTCACATGGGCTTCCAACGAAGACTACCCATGGACATTTCAACACACATCTCAGAGGCAGAGCCACTGTTGTCCCTCAATATAGCATCTGAAAGGTTCTAAAGTTGATTGGTGCCCAATTTACTGTTCACATTCCACAACCTGGCTAAGGATCCACCACTGAGAGTAAAATGTCAGCCCTCTTTGCCTTTGGGGGTCCACCTCAGGCCTCCATTGGTCCCATGGCCTTTTCAACATATATCACACAGGCAGAGTCACCATTGTCCCTCCAAAGAAACCTGCCCTCAAAAAATCAATGCATCCACCAGTGGAGTGCATGTAGAAAATCAAACAAATATTTCGAAAAGACGATTTGGGTAATTCTACTGGTCTATATTCAGCTTAAAAATGTCATTCAGTTAGTATGTTACATGTCCCCTGCAGGACAGTTGGAGACCACCACGAGTACAGCTTCCCAGAGGAGTGAATAGGGCCATGGCACGCATGCTCAGGATTAAGAGGACCCAGCAGGGATGCCTTTTAGAAGAAACGCTGTGTGGCTCCAAGCCGGGAAGTACAGTGAGGATCCCTGGAACGAGGATAAAGGTAAGTATTGAATCAGGTGGGCTGCACTCATGGTGGTGGAGGAACACCTTAAAGGTTGCCTTGTACCAAAGGTACTGTTATCCTTTAAATTGACACTAAACTCAGGAGTTAAATCTTAAAAATACATTCAGGTACCTTAACTATTAACAACAATGTATCTTATTTGTGTATCACTCGGCTGTGGATCCTCAAATCATCTCTGAATTGGTGCTGACACTGTCCTTCCTTCTGGAGGGGGGGCTACTTTTCTTCCCCATGGTCCCTGTGTGTGATGTGAAGTAGTCACCGCTCCAAGCGCGCTCCTGGGATGGACTACAATCTCATGTTTAGTTTACTCATTTGTATTGAAATTATAGTCTATCATAGGAGCGAGCTTGGAGCGGTGACTACTTCACATCACACACAGGGACCATGGGGAAGAAAAGTAGCCCCCCCTCCAGAAGGAAGGACAGTGTCAGCACCAATTCAGAGATGATTGGAGGATCTACAGCCGAGTGATACATTTTTATCATTAGGCAAGGGAGATGAATGCAAATGCAAAATGAGCAGCCCACATCAACGTGAAGAACACAATTTAAAACAATGACCAACCTGTATCCATTCATTGATGTGTATTACTGTAGAACTCATAAGCGTGCACCTAACAACCCGACACTAAATTGTTCTACATTTGATGTAGCTTAGTCTTTATTGGTGGGATTATTTCTTGAATGTAATTAGAAATGTTGGAAATGTGACATTACTGAGTTAATTCAAAATCTAAAATTATTTTTACGATGTAGTTATGAAGAAATAACCATGAGCTGTCGTTTCATGTTAATGGGTTGAGGTGCCTCAAGATTATTTCCTAAGTGAAACTCATTGGTAAAAAAAGATG